GTGGGGAATTTACTGTTTCTAATTCTTTTTTCGATTCGAGACTGAATTTATGTGTTGAAGACATTACGTTTAGTGGCAACGTTTGTGCCTTCCTTAGACTTAAAGCGTCTAAGACAGATCATTGCCATAAAGGCACCATCATTACTCTGTACTCTAATGATCACTTGTGCCCAGTTTCGGCCTTGCGGAGTTACTTAACACAGCGTTACGAAATTTCACCTAATTTTAAGCCAAGTGATCCTTTGTTTATTTTACCTGGTAATCGTTCTTTGACACGAACAGTTTTCTTGCAGTATTTGCGTCAGCTATTAAGCTTAATCGGGTTGGATGCCTCTCTATATACAGGGCATTCATTTCGTATCGGTGCAGCATCAACGGCAGCCAAAGTGGGCATTCCTGATCACATGATTAAAACACTTGGTCGGTGGACCTCAGACTGTTATACTAGGTACATTCATTTCTCAGGTGAATCATTAAGTGATGCCCAATCTGCACTAGTCCATGGTTGTTAGAATCAATTTAGTTTTGGATATGGAGTAGTGTAACATTTAGTAATGTACTTTTAGTGGAGGAGAGGAGTTTACATTTAGTAGTGTAGTTTTATTTATGTTTTTACATGTGCATGTTTATTTATTAGATTACCTGTAGTATTTTCAGGTATATTTAAGTGCTTTCTTTTATTTGCGTTCTACTTTACTATTTCATTTTGGGGGTCTCTCTGCAGTTGGTCAACTGCATCGTTTGGGGGCTTTGCTTTTAGGTGGGCAATTTTCCCCCCAAGATAAACATTGTAATCCTCAATACTGGTTCATATCTCATTGTTCATATCATTGTAGTTACAGTGCTCGCTGTTTCTACCTCATAGCTAACTGATTTCTTTGTAGTTGCAGTCACGCTGTTTCTACCTGTAGAGCTACCTCTACCTACTAATCCTTGTTCTTGTAGAGCTACAGTCACGCTGTTTTTCTACCTTGTAGTTGCAGTCATGCTGTTTCTACCTGTAGTTGCAGTCACACTGCTTCTACCTACATTTACTAATTCTAACAATATCATTTGAGGGCTAGTATAGTTTTTTGAACTATGTCGTTTTACATGCTTTTATTTCAGTTAAATATTTATTTCTCTTTGTGTTTATTCTACTGTTTCATGTCTGGGTGCTCACCGTGTCACCATGCAGTGTGTATCGCCTATTGTTATGTTCGCTGTTTTTTCTAGTGTAGTGCAGCTTAGGTGGGACACGGTGAGCGTCCCTTATGCCAATAAAATATCTTAAACTGTAACTTGAGTGTTTGTGTCGTAAATGTGTACTATCAAAGCAATTGAACTTGCGTTTTTTTAAACAAGAAGTCAAAAATATTCATCAAAATTAGAAGATTGAAGATATCATCATGAAATGAACAAATTTGAGAGAGGTCCATATGTAGTACTTATACGTATAATATCAAAGCAATTTGACATGCGTTTTTTAACAAAAATTCGAAAATATCTTTTTTTACCAAAAATGACAAAAAGAATTCATTAAAATTAGATAATTGAAGATATCATCACGAAATGAACATACTGTAAAATGACTAATTTTCACTGGGTTTAAATTTCACTGATTTGCCATTTCAGGCATATTCTTTGGGTTTTAAATTCACGGTTTTATCATTTAGATAATGTGTTCTATGCTAAATTTTACATATTCACTGGGTTTTAATTTAGCGCATTTTCCAGTCAGCGAAATAAGCCAAATTAAAACCCAGTGAATAATTAACCCCTTTACAGTATCTAAGAAAGGACCACATGTAGTACCTATATATGTAATATCAAAGCAATCACCTTGTGGTTTTCAACAAGAAGTCAAAAATATCACTTTTTGCAAAAAATTCCAAAAATATTCACCAAAATTAGAGAATTAAAGATATCATCACAAAATGAACAAATCTGAGAGAAGTCCACATGTAGTACCTACCGGTATATGTGTAATATCAAAGCAATTGGACTTGCGGTATTTAACAAGAAGTCAAAAATATCACTTTTTACCAAAAATTACAAAAATATTCATCAAAATTAGAAAATTGAAGATATCATCATGAAATGAACAAATCGGAGAAAGGTCCATATGTAGTACTTATACGTATAATATCAAAGCAATTTGACATGCGTTTTTTAACAAGAAGTCGAAAATATCTTTTTTTACCAAAAATGACAAAAAGAATTCATTAAAAGTAGATAATTGAAGATATCATCATGAAATAAACAAATCTGGGGAGATCAACCCAAGGTGCCTATGTACCAAATTAGAAAGCATTCAGAATTACGGTTTCAAAGAAGAAGTCAAAAATATCAATTTTGACCAAAAATCCCAAAAATATTCAGCAAAAAAACAAAATTTGAAATGTTGACATGAATTGAACAAATCTGAGAGAGAACCATCCAAAGTACTTGCATATCAAACATTCTGACTTGCGGTTTTGAAGAAGAAGTTGAAATTGTAAAGTTGACGACGACGACGACAACGGACAATCAGTAATATGAACAGCTCTGCTAGCTGTGTTGACTTTGTCGACAGCAGAGCTAAAAATCAAGAGGTTTAATATTCAGAAACCCTCCATAAGTAATGTGAATACCAAATTTGAATGAAACCAGCCAGATATGCTTGAGAAACAGTTTTTTTTTTGTTTTTTTTTTGTCTAATTCTTGTACTTAATTTGAGCTAAATCAATCAATCAAGACAAATCATTAAAGTCCCTGTGTTAGATCATATCCCACAAGGACTGAAATTGTAAAAAGCAAATTGTAAATGAATATATAATAATTCACCTCCTGACTGACTTGTAATTCTGGAACACTGTGAACCATAGATATGGATGCAGTGGTTGCCCAAACACGTTCACCTGGATTGCCTTCGGTTCTGTAAAGGAAACAGAATTATTGATAATGCTGTACACGTAGTTCTCACAACAGCATCCAGATTCAATATACCAGGTTATGGTGTTAGACCATGTGTTAATTTATTAGATAATTTAGACAGGTCTAGTCCACTATGATTTAGGTCTACATGTTATTTTTAAACACATCAACTGAATCTAACGGTTTTGCGAATTTGATGTAAATATAACCTTGGTAAATACAGGAGTTCTACGCATGCGCCAACTAGAGTAACATCGTAACCAGACGGCTAAATAAAACAGAAGAAATTTAACCCGCCGATAGGAAAATAGGGAAGTAATATGTCACCGAGGGTTGGCATGAAAGCAGATAGAGCAAAGGGAGCTTAGAAACAGGACAGGAAAATGGACGAAATGCTATTGGCATCCAGTGAAAGTGCGGAAGGCCAGAATCAAATAATACAAGATGGAACCCTCCAAAAGGCCATGAAGTTATCCAGTAAGGATCGGTTGGAAATGATGTTGAGATTGCTTTTCTCGATAAGGGAGATAGTAGACAAGATTGAACCTATGAATCGGCAGATTGAGGAAACAAAGCACAAAGTCTCAGAATTAGAAGAATCATTAAATCATGTCTACGAACGGGTAGAGGATATCGAAAAAAAATACCGCAGCGGGGAGACACGTGACAAGATGGTGGACAAACTGAAACTAAAAGTCCTGGTAATGGAAACCAGACTGAGTGAATCAGAAAACAAGAATGACGATTTGGAAAACAGATTGCGACGAATGAACTTAAACTTCCGCCGAAGGAGCAGAAAAACATGAGAAATCGTGTTCAGTATTTATAAAGAAATTCGTCTTGAATCATATGAAGGTCAGAGGTATCGAAAACCACATGGCCATTCCTGTAAAAGCCAAAATATTGTCAGGTCAAAATATTATGTATGAACTTACAGTTATCAATTCTATCACTTAATACGAGAGGGATGAGAGATTTTAAAAAGAGAAAAAAGATATCTAATTGGATAAAAGCAAAAAAAAGTGGAATAGCCTCAGACCACTCAGCAATAGTATTAAGTATCGATGATAAAACCCTGAAGCGCGGGCCTGCCTACTGGAGATTTAATTCAGCTTTAACAAGAGATGAGAAGTATAATAATATATTAAAAGATAAAATAAATGAATGGACAGAGGAATTGAAAAAGATAGAGGATAAAAGATTGTTATGGGATATGATTAAATATAAAATTGGAAATGTTACAAATGAATACAG